GGTCTCTGTAGCCATCCCAATGCTAGTTTTCTCTCCTAGTTTTAACTTAGGATTTCTGATTACTTATGTTGAGTATCTTTGCATTTGCTCTTGGCCTGCCACATCTTTTGTAAAGTATTTAAATCTTTTGTTCATCTATTCTTATTGAGTTGCAGGGGTTCTTTATTTTGGAGACAACTCCTTTATCAGATATTGCTTTTATGACTATTTTCTCTTAAGTCTGTGGCTTCCCTTTCTAATTTATTTGCCTCTGTGTGTGTGTGTGTGTGGTATTTTTCTGTACAGACGAGAAAAAAAATGTTGTCCAGGCTGGTCTTGAACTCCCAGGCTCAAGTGATCCTTCTGCTTCAGCTTCCCAAAGTGCTGGGATTACAGTCGTGAGCCACTGCACCTGGTCTCTTTCCAGTTTCTTAACAGTACCTCTTGAGAAGCAGATGTGGCTTTTTTTTTCTTTTTTTGAGACAGAATTTCATTCTGTCGCCCAGGCTGGAGTGCCATAGCGCGATCTCGGCTCAATGCAACCTCCACCTCCTGGGTTCAAACGATTCTTCTACCTCAGTCTCCCGAGTAGCTGGGATTACAGGCTTTCGCCACCATGCCTGGGTAATTTTTGTATTTTTAATAGAGATAGGGTTTCGCCATGTTGGTCAGAGTGGTCTCAAACTCCTGACCTTAAGTAATCCACCTACCTCGACCTCCCAAAGTGCTCGGACTATAGGCATGAGCCACGGCGCCTGGCCTCCTTTCCATTCAGTTTCTTAACAGTACCTCTTGAGAAGCAGATGTGGCTTTTTGATGAAATCCAATTTATCATTTTTTTCTTTTAAGATTCTTTTTATCATTTCAAATATGTGCCAGTCCCTAGGTAACAAAGATCTGTTTCCTTCTGGATGGCATGCTGTGGTATTAGTATTTGTTATATCAAATTAGTTTTTGTGTATGGAGTGAGGTAGTGATCAGTAAGATGCATTTCAAGTAAGATGAAGTTACAGCCAGAATACAATAACTCCTTAGAAGTTGGTGGAAGCACCTTCCAATTTTTTTTTTTTTTTTTGAGACAGAGTCTCGCTCTGTCACCCAGGCCGGAGTGCAGTGGCACGATCTTGGCTTACTGCAGCCTCCACCTCCTGGGTTCAAGAGATTCTTGTGCCTCAGCCTCCCAAATAGCTGGGATTATAGGAACCCACCACCACGCCCAGCTAATTCTTTGGTATTTTTATTAGAGATGGGTTTTCACCATGTTGGCCAAAGTCAAAGGCGCTGGCTGAATCAGCACCTCTGTGTATCCCCACAGTGTCCATGGCCGTTTTCTTCAGGGCTCATGTGGTGTGCTGCAACAGGGTTAGGGGGCAGGTGCACGCTGGTTTGCTGTGCCAGTGCAGCAGGTAGACCTGCCCAGGGTCGCTGTGGCTCCGGAGTGGAGCAAAGGCCAAAGCTCAGGGTTCACCTCCTCAGTCTGCTGTTGTAACTAACACTGGGCCTCTGCAAACTCTCCCCTGTGCGTCCAAGTCCACCAAGGTAAGGTCTGTTGTGGATTTAGCTGCTCTGAGTCTCTGCTAAAAGGAGCAGCTGATGAATTGACTCTTTCTTTCTACTTTCAGCATCTTCACTGCATGTTTCAAATCGTGAGAGCCTGATAGGCTGAGTTTTGTTTGGGGAAAGTGCCTTTTTTTTCCTGTTGTTGTTATTAACACAGACATTCTCTGTTGTCCAGGTTGGGGTGCAGTGGCGTGATCTCCACTCACTGCAACCTCCACCTCCCGGGTTCAAGTGATTCTCCTGCCTCAGCCACCCAAGTAGCTGGGATTACAGGCACCCACCACCACAACTGACTAATTTTTGTGTTAATTAGTAGAGATGGGGTTTCACCATGTTGGCCAGACTAGTCTTGAACTCCTGACCTCAGATGATCCACCTGCCTTAGCCTCCCAAAGCACTGGGATTACAGGCATGAGCCACTACACCCAGCCTTTTAAAAAAATTTTAATCTACTGTTTACACGGTGTTCTTGTACCTTTTTAAAAAGTGATGGAGCTTATAGTAATGCGTGAGGATTACTACTACAGCAGCAACTTTTAAAAGGACTATCTTGTGATTTGGAATGCACAGAAAATGAAGGGGAAAGGTAAACATCTGGCTTTCACAGGTATGAACTCAGAAAATCAAGTCAATTCATGTCCTCACCTTAGAAGCAGTGGAAGCAAAGGGATGTCTAGAGCGCTTTTTAGAGGCCGATAATATTACGAGGTCAAAATGGAACGATAAATGGAAAAAGGACAAAAGGACAGTCTATTCCAGAATAGTACTTTCTTGTGGAGGATGTGATCCTCTGAGACAGCACAGGTGGTTACTGTGTTTATAAGGGACATGTGTTCATATTTAGTCCATTTTTTTCCTCTGCATTTTTTTTTTTTTTTCCCAGACAGGGTCTCACTCTGTCGCCCAGACTGGAGTGCAGCGGCATGATTACATCTCACTGCAGCCTCGAACTCCTGGGCTCAAGTGATCCTCTCACCTCAGCCTCCCAAGTAGCTAGGATTATAGGCATGCTCCACCACACCAGGCTAAATCTTTTTTGTTTGTTTTTTTCATCAACTTTATTTTAAGTTCCAGGGTACGCGTGCACGATGTGCAGGTTTGTTACATAGGTGAACGTTTGCCATGGTGGTTTGCTGCACAGATCAACCCCGTCACCTCTGTACAAGCCAAGCATCCATCAGCCATTCTTACTTCCCCCACCTCCTTGTTCCCCTGACAGACCCCAGGGCATGCTCTTCGCCCCCATGTGTCCATGTGTTCTCATTGTTCCATTCCCACTGGCCAGGTTGGCGAGAAGAAGAAATGCTTTCACATTGTTGGTGGGAATGTAAATGAGTTCAACCACTGTGGAAGACGGTGTGGCGATTCCTCAAAGATTTAGAAGCAGAAATACCATTTGACCCATCATTCTTGTTACTGGGTATATACGCCAAGAAATAGAAATCATTGTATTATGAAGATACATGAATGTGTATATCTTTTTTTTTTTTTAAAGAGATTGGGCCTCGCTATGTTGTCCAGGCTGGTCTCAAACCCCTGACCTCAAGCAATCATCCTGCCCTGGCCTCCCAAAGTGTTGAGATTACAGGCATGAGCCACTGAGCCCAATCTTCCTCTACAACTTCTAACTTAGTGCCATGCCCCATAGTAAGATAGTGTACATTATGATTATGTATTTGTATTTATATATTGCTGACCTAAACAGAAGTTTCAGGAAAAAAGCTTAGCCTTTCTCTGCAATGCATTCTGATAGTTAACATTTTTTGTACCATTAAAAAAATCCCAACAATTTGGGAGGCTGAGGTGGGTGGATCACCTGAGGTCAGGAGTTTGAGACCAGCCTGGTCAACATGGCGAAACCCCATCTCTACTAAAAACACAAAAATTAGCCGGGTATGGTGGGTGCCTTTAGTCCCAGCTACTCTGGAGGCTGAGGAAGGGGAATCACTTGAACCCAGGAGGAGGAGGTTGCAGTGAGCTAAAATCGTGCCACTGTGCTCCAGCCTGGGCGAAAGAGTGAGACTGCATCTCAAATAATAACAATAATAATCCTGTTGCAACCCCATATACTAAATTTCCTTGACACCACAATATGAAAATCACTGTTTTAAAATAAACTGAAATTGGATTTTTATTTTTATTTTTGAGACAAGATCTCACTCTTGCCCAGACTGGAGTGCAGTGGTGCGATCACCACTCACTAACACCTTGATCTCCTGGCCTCAAGTGACCCTCCAGCCTCAGCCTCCCAAAGTGCTGGGTACCATGCTCAGCTTAGAATGGGGATTTTGAGGATATAGCCAGGCTCTCTCAAACAGAAGGTAAGAGGAAAGATAGCTGAACTTGGAATTAGGAAATTGAGGCCAAGTCCAGGCTCTGATGTTTGTTAAAGGTGAAAATCAGCACAAATCTTACTACCTTTAGCTCTCCCTTTCCCCATCTATCCGGTGACAACCGTCCCGCCTCCATGTGCCTCACAGAATGCTCAAGGAAAAAGTAAATCATTTTCAAAATGTCAAAATTATTTTAAAAGATTGCATAAGTAATTCAATTATCATGGTCCTAGTCATAAATGGTAAAGCACTTGCAAAGCTGAGGACCTTTCTGTCCTTCAAGGGATGCAACTAGGAAGTGAGATGCACTCAGGAAAACCAGGCGGCACTTGAATTTATTCTCAGTGGTGAGGCGTGACTCATGCCCTGCCCTCTGTAAGACTGCCTTCCCTAACTCCCGGATTCTTGCCTGTTCCTGACACTTCTTTTCACCCTTACCCTTCTTCAGGTAGGCTGTAATTGTTTGTTTATTCAATTCATTCAGCATCTTCCTTGAGTGCTATGTATTAGGTGCTAAGTTAGGCACTTAAGACAGAGCGGTGAACCAGGCAATATCCCCTGTTCTCCTGGGCTGGCGCTTTAGTAGGGCATGTATTATGTAGGGTTTTTTTCTGCTTGACTGTCCCAACTAAATCGATTTGGACAGCAGTATTAGAATCCTAAAGAGACAAAAAGATAGATAATCCAGCAGGCTTTTAGCAGCCTGTGGATCACTGTAGCATAGTCGTAAGTCTCAGATGCACGGAGAAGATGATGACCTGGCTTTAGTGAACAAATCCATGGTCAGCAAAGGTGGAGAGGAGGCTCTGGATATAGAGGCAGCAGATGCCACCGCAGCAAGGCCACTCTTCAGAAGATGACCAAGCCTCCGTGATTACCTGTCTGGGACAGCCATTTCTATAATATCATTAACAACAAAGAAAGCAAGCACCAGCAAACCCAGCAGCGTTCTAGGAAGAAGAGAAAGCCCTGTTTTCGGGACTAAGGGAGTAGGTGAACAATCACTCTAATTTGCCTTTGGCAAAATTTTCACATCGTCAGCATTGCTCACTGATGCTGTAATCCTAGTTTCAAAATCTGATCGCCCTTTTCTCTCTGCTGCTTACTCAAGGGCTTTGTTCACATAAACAGCATTTACCCTGTTAAACTTAAGAGAGGAATTATGCAGCTGTCTGGGGTCACCTTGGGAAAGGGTAGGGTGAGTGGCAAGCCGTAATGATGTGACCTAGTAGGTCCTTCCTACCTCCCCAACCCCTAGTAAAGCTCCCCACCCACTGGATACCTGGAATTCCACCCAGGTGACTTGCTATTCTGGAATGAGAATGCTTTTCCTCCTCCCTAGCCTGCTTTCAAACTGTAATTGACCCTAAAATCTCTATACATGAAACCATAATCTTTAGTATGAATGTGTTTATAAATACACATTTTTCCCCTCACTGTGGTTGTCATTAGGTTAATACCAGCAGCTGAGGGGGCCTCCGGAATGTGGGAGGGTGGAGTGGGTGAAAGGTTCCTGATGGGAGTAGGGAGACCTGGATTCAGATCTTGATCATGTGGTTTGAAGCCAGTGTTTAGGCATCTTCCATATGCTTCTCTGGGAATGTGGGGAAATGATGTCTATTTTACAGTTATCATGTAGATTTAAGGAGATAGTATGCAGAAAAGCATCATACAACAAATTAGATTCCTTCCTATAAATTTATCTCAGAGGGGTTAACCACATGCAGGACCGTCAAAAAATCTATAAAAGAGTTACAACAAGGCAAAGCTTGAGCTAAAGTGTGGAGGAATTAGTGAATTTCCCTGTGCACATGATAATTCACATGAGATAGCAAGATGTTTTCAAATATAGCCACCATACAATGACTGTTTTTTGTTTTTTCTGTGCAGTGACAAATGAGATCCTCTGTTGGGCTTTATGTCTAAAGCTTGAATTTCAAGCAGTTTCCTCACTTGAGATCAGGAGTTCAAGACCAGCCTGGCCAACACGGTGAAACCCCATCTCTACTAAAAATATAAAATTATCCAGTCATGGTGGTGGGCACCTGTAATCCCAGCTACTTGGGAGGCTGAAGCAGGAGAATCGCTTGAGCCAGGAGGCGCAGGTTGCAGTGGGCTGAGATCATGCCACTGCACTTCAGCCTGGGCAACAGAGCAAGACTCCATCTCAAAAAAAAATCAGGTTTTCATCGCATCAAAGATGCTAGAAAGAATAAGCATCACTTAATTTTCTCTTTGTTTCCATTTAATCAGCCATGGATTGTTACAGAACCTCAGCAAGCAATTCCTGGATTTACCCCACTGTGATCCTCTGCATATTTGGTTTTTTCTCCATGATGAGACCCTCAGAACCATTCCTTATCCCATATTTATCTGGACCAGATAAAAACCTGACCAGTGCAGAGGTAAGTTAACATACATACGTATCTTAATGTGGTTTTTAAAATTTTACAGGACTTGAACAAGGATACGGGGCTTCCCTCAACTTGAAATAAGATGAACACATTAAACTCAGTGAGCCCGATTTTCATAATATGTGTCACATAAAGAACTTTTCAAACTATTTCCTCCTCATACTTGCAGAAAATTGCAGCCAAAACACATTACATGTGTTAACAAATTTTTAACTTGCATAGAGTGCTAACATTTGTGTTAATGATAGGAGCCTTTCAGGTCTCCATTGATTCTATTATACTAATCCTAAAACAGCATCACTGGCAGGCACAGGATCTAAATCTAAATAAACTCTCAGGCTGTTGAGGGATAAGCAGGGTCTCATAAAGAATTGTGGTATTTCTTTATGACACTGTTTACCAGCAGGTGAGCCGTTAACAGCTTTATCTCCCAGTCCTTGCCTCCTTCTCTGGAATGCCAGATTCTTTTACTTAAAAGAGCAACGTCTTTCTTTTTTGTTGTTGTTTGAGATGGAGTCTCACTCTGTCGTGCAGGCTGGAGTGCAGTGGTGTGATTTTGGCTCACTGCAACCTATGCCTCCCAGGTTCAAACAATTCTCCTGCCTCAGCCTCCTGAGTAGCTGGGACTACAGGCATGAGCCACCACGCCTGGCTAATTTTTGTATTTTTAGTAGAGACAGGGTTTCACCATGTTGGCCAGGCTGGTCTCGAACTTCTAGCCTCAAGAGATTCGCCCTCCTCGGCCTGCCAAAGTGCTGGGATTACAGACATGAGCCACTGCCCCCGGCCTCGCATTTCTTTATAAGAAGTACAACAAGAAAATGCACTGACCTAACTGCAAAATTACCCTGGGCTGATTTTACAGTCTCCAGCCTCAGCCTTGAAAACACTATGTAAAGTGTGTGGCTTCACCTGCAAGGCTAATTGGTGCCTCGGGTGGTGAGGTGGCAAGGACAGAAAGGCAAGCTTGTTCTGTAGTATCAGATCACTTAGGGACAACCGTGTTTCCGAGTTGCTCAGGTTGAAGCATGCCACGATGAAAACAACAAAGGACAGATGCAGGGTCAGAAGCAACTCAATGAGTCCACTGGGGTCTGCTTCTGCAGCCACTGTGGACCAGTTAATAGATCCTCCCTCCAAGGAGCAGCTCAGTTGTGTGGTCTTTGCTCTGTGGTCTCCTGCTTTCTCCAGCAACCTCAGTGATCCAGGTGTCAAGGTGGGTAAGTTCAGTGATTTGAGACGTTGCGGCACTCACCCACCATGCCCCACAGATCAGCAACTCCAGTCCTTCCTATTATGAAAATTGATATCCTATGCATTTCTGACTAAATCCGTGAGATGATCCATATTAAACTGAGGCATAGACAAATCAGCAGAATTGTTAGGGGGAGATGGGGGAAGGTTGGGAACCTAGCAAATTTGCCCAGGAAGGAAAATGAGATGCATTACTTGCTTCCACTCTATAATGTGGCAAAGTTATTTACTCTTTCCCTATCTTCCCATATCTTTCCAGATGTTGGAAGGACTGAAATATCTGACATCGTGATAGATCACATGAAAATAAAGGCTGTTGGATTCTTTTTGTTGTTGTTGCTGAGATGGAGTCTTGCTCCGTTGCCCAGGCTGGAGTGCAGTGGCACGATCTCGGCTCTCTGCAACCTCTGCCTCCCAGGTTCGACCAATTGTCCTGCCTCAGTCTCCCAAGTAGCAGAGATTACAGGTGTCTGCCACCATGCCTGGCTAATTTTTGTATTTTTAGTAGGGACAGGGTTTCATCCTGTTGGCCAGGCTGGTCTCGAACTCCTGACATCGTGATTCACCTGCCTCCACCTCCCAAAGTGCTGGGATTACAGGCTTGAGCCACCACACCCAGCCTGGATTCTTTTAACATTATAGTCTACTTGTCTAATGTTAGTATTTGAACAAGAAGGAAATGATATTTTTTAAGAATCTTGGGATGGGTGTGGTGGCTTACGCCTGTAATCCTAGCACTTTGGGAGGCTGAGGCGGGTGGATTACCTGAGGTCAGGAGTTCAAGACCAACCTGATCAACATGGTGAAACCTCGTTTATTCTAAAATACAAAAATTAGCTGGGCATGATGGCGGGTGCCTATAATCCCAGCTACTCAGGAGGCTGAAACGGGAGAATGGCCTGAACCCGGGAGATGGTGGTTGCAGTGAGCCAAGATCGGGCCACTGCACTCCAGCCTGGGTGGCTGAGCAAGACTCCATCTCAAAAAAAAAAAAAGAATCTGAAAAACGTAGAAGTGTCCAAACACTTTTTAACTCATCTACTCAACTGTACATACTATTTAAACTTAATATATAATTCAGATTGCACAATAAGCCAATATATTCTTCTACCAGGGTTTATCTAAGTGTATAAGTTGGTTGGTTTTTACCAATGGGAAAGGAGACTACCCTTTCTCAGTGATTTCCTTGAAAATGAGTTTTCTCATTATGTTTCTCCGTAACGCGAATAATTTCCAATTGGATGCAGAAGTTGAGATACAAACCACAGGTACCTTAGTAAAGTACCAGTGCTTCACGGTCATGCAGTTTACCAACTTTGCAGATGACAAATGAGATCTTCCCCGTTTGGACGTACTCCTACCTGGTGCTGCTGCTGCCTGTGTTTGTCCTCACTGATTACGTCCGCTACAAGCCGGTCATCATCTTGCAAGGTGTCAGTTTCATCATTACCTGGCTGCTGCTCTTGTTTGGCCAAGGAGTGAAGACCATGCAGGTTGTAGAGTTCTTCTACGGGATGGTGACCGCCACCGAGGTGGCCTACTACGCCTACATATACAGCGTGGTCAGCCCCGAGCACTACCAGAGAGTGAGCGGCTACTGCAGGAGCATCACGCTGGCCGCCTACACAGCAGGGTCCGTGCTGGCCCAACTCTTAGTATCCCTGGCGAACCTGTCATACTTTTACCTCCACGTCATATCCTTGGCCTCTGTCTCCGTAGCCTTCCTTTTCTCACTTTTCCTACCAATGCCCAAGAAAAGCATGTTTTTTCATGCAAAACCCAGCAGAGAAATAAAGAAGTCATCAAGTGTGAATCCAGTATTAGAGGAAACTCACGAAGGTGAAGCACCAGACTCTGAAAAGCAGAAACCCACATCAGAAATACCCAGCACTTCAGGGAAGCTGAATAAGGGCCAGCTGAACAACCTGAAACCCAGGAATGTGACTGTGGAAGTTTTTGTGCAGTGGTTCCAAGATCTGAAGGAGTGCTACTCCTCAAAACGTCTTTTCTACTGGTCTCTCTGGTGGGCTTTTGCCACAGCAGGTTTTAACCAGATTTTGAACTATGTTCAAATCCTGTGGGATTACAAGGCACCTTCCCAAGATTCTTCCATCTATAATGGGGCCGTAGAAGCTACTGCGACCTTTGGAGGTAAGCAAATGTCACTTAATCTTCCTTTGTTGGCTTTTCCCCCTTAAGACCATTTCTCCAGGTACCGAACTTCATGGCGCAAATTAGCTCTGTTCAGAAGGCAGCGTAATTTTTTTTCAATCAAGAATGAAAGTCACTGGAAAAACAAGAATACCATGATTTTCTACTGTATTGTAGTTCCAACAAGTAACTCTTTTTTTTTTTTTTTTTTTTTTTTTTTTGAGACAGAGTGTCGCTCTGTCACCAGGCTGGAGCGCAGTGGTGCAATCTCAGCTCACTGCAACCTCCACCTCCCAGATTCAAGCTATTCTCCTGCCTCAGCCTCCCAAGTAGCTAGGACTACAGGCATGTGCCACCACGCCCAGCTAAGTTTTTTTGTATTTTTAGTAGATACAGGGTTTCACCATGTTGCCCAGGATGGTCTCGATCTCTTGACCTCATGATCTGCCCACCTCAGCCTCCCAAAGTGCTGGGATTACAGGCGTGAGCCACCGTCCCCAGCCACAACAAGTAACTCTTAGGAGCTCAGGGCTTAGCACCAAACAATGAAATTCTAGTTGAATCCCTAAGATTCCAATTTATCATTAGCACAAAGGTTAATAACATGCCCTGTTCTTTTAGGATCATTTTTAATATCAAAATATATACATATATGTGTGTGTGTTTTTATTATTTTAGAAAATAAATTAAGGATTCCAAATTCTCACTGAGGGTTTTGTTAATACAGGCTTTGAACTAACTAGCATGCACCTATAATAGTTCTAGGCTATACACCAATAACTTTCAAAAGCAGCTTTCTCATGATATTTAAATGAGGGGTGGAAGAGATGTGAAAGTCAGGATTTTAATATCAGAGGGAAATCTGTCTTTGAAGTTTAATCTACAATAAATGTTTATTTCCTAATAACTGGAAGCTTAAATGTCAAATGAGACTTTGAAGGTATTTTTTAGGAAGTGAGATTTTGCCCCACCCTCATTTACAAAAAGTTTTAGAAAACCCATGTGACCTCTATTTTATTATTATCTCCCTTTTGGGAAGCTTCAGTTTAACTCCTGGAAACCAGGACTGTGCCAGAATTGCTTCACTGAAATTATTGCTCCTACATTCCAAATCCATGGGGGGAATATAGTTTTTTTTTTTCCTCTGTAGTCATGATCATATGTGGGAAAGTTAGTCATATGTCTGTGTAGTACTTTGAAATCTAAATACCTTTTGTTTATTTATTTTAGACAGAGTCTTACTCTGTTACCCAGACTGGATTGCAGTGGCATGATTTCAGCTCATTGCAACCTCTGCCTCCCAGGTTCAAGCGATTCTCCTGCCTCAGCCTCCTGAGTAGCTGGGATTGCAGGCGCCTGCCACCATGCTGGCTAATTATTGTATTTTTAGTAGAGACGGGGTTTCACCAGGTTGGCCAGGCTGGTCTCTAACTCCTGACCTCAAGTGATCCACGCCCTTCGGCCTCCCAAAGTGCTGGGATTACAGGAGTGTGCCACTGTCCCCAGCCCTAAATACCTTTTACTTTTGTTGAAGAGAATCACACAGAAGTACTAACCCTAATTACTGTCAATTATTCAATTTCTTGAACTCTGTCAGTCTATACCGATGTTTTCACCCAAAACTTCTCAAGTAAATTATGTCAGATGTTGAAGACTTTAGAGTGGAGATTGGAAATAAGACTAAGATTACTAAAGATTCATAATAAAGACTAACACTGGGTGTGGCAAGAAAAAAGACTAAAGCTATCCGTGTAACACATCTGATACTCATCACTGAAAAAGACTTACAGCAAAAACTGAGAAAAGAAAGGCAAATAGAGAGGCCAGATGTGTTCCCAGAGAATTGATTTCATCCTTTTCCATCCCTGCATGTTGTGTTTAGTGACTAGGTTAATGTATCATTTCTCCTTACACTGCTGTGGTTAGGAACATTTCTGGCCCCTCTGGAGAGTACAGTGCCTGGTGTATAGTTGATGCTAATTAAAAGTGTGATGACTAAGTGACCGAAAGAATAGCAAGTGAAAAGAAAAGCCAGAAGAAGACGTGGTTGAGAAAAGGATAGATCCACATTCAGGTCGATCACACAATTTTGTGAGAGCAATTTATTTATCTTTCAGAATTACCCGAGACCTGGGTTTTTAAGAGAGGGCGTTGATATTTATTTGCATGCAAAGTCATTGTGTTTGATTGCCTTCAATGTTTTGTTTTCAGGGGCTGTGGCTGCCTTTGCAGTGGGTTATGTGAAAGTCAACTGGGACCTACTGGGAGAGCTGGCTCTGGCGGTCTTCTCAGTTGTCAATGCAGGTTCTCTATTTCTCATGCATTACACAGCCAACATCTGGGCGTGCTATGCTGGCTATTTGATATTCAAGTCCAGCTATATGCTTCTTATAACCATTGCAGTGTAAGTTTTACCAACCACTCCTAAAACTGAACTGTATTACTCTCTCTTCCATCTTCCTAAGCTTTCTCTAAGAACTTCAGAAGGATTTTAGTCAATTGCAATATTAAATGTTGACTACTTTATATTAAATTAGACACAACTAAGCCAACTTTTCATTTAACTATTTGCTCTCTGAATATTGATACAATATACCTTTAGTCATCAAGGGAAAAAACTCTGTAGGTTTATAAACCAAAAGCAATGATACATTGTCAGGTTTTTCTTTTTGTTTGGTTTGGTTTGAGAGATGGTCTGGCTCTCTTGCCCAGGCTGGAGTGTAGTGGTGTGGTCACGATCACGGCTCAATGCAGCCTTGACTTCCCAGGCTCAGCTGAGTCTCCAACCTCAACCTCCTGAGTAGTTGGGATGACAAGCATGTGCCACCACACCTAGCTAATTTTTCACATTTTGTAAAGATGGGGTTTCACCATGTTGCTCAGGCTGGTCTCAAACTCCTGGGCTCAAGCGATCCACGTACCTTGGCCTCCCAAAGTGCTGGAATTACAGGTGCGAGCCACTACATCTAGCAACATTGTCAGGTTTTGATTTGTTTGTTTCCAGCAACTTTCCACATAAGGTGTGATGTGATCTGCTTTTAAATGGTTAGGTTTAGATTTCATTCCTACTTTCATTTGGTTGCTTGAGAAATTCTAGGCACATACTTTTGTGACACAAAAGATTCTCGGGAAAGTTATTAAAAAGTTAGATACTAAAAAAAGTAGATGCAAAGATAACAAGAAACCTTTAGCTGCAGTCATATATGGAACCAAGTAGTTTTTCTTTTCTTTCTTTCCTTTTGAGACAGGGTCTCACCTGGGCAGGAGTGCAGTAGTGCAAACATAGCACACCACAACCTTGATCTCCTGGGCTCAAGCAGTCCTCCCAACTCAGCCTCCTGAGTAACTGAAACCACTGGTGCACACTACCATGCCTGGCTAAATTTTTAATTTTCATTTTCGTAAAGACAGAGTGTCGCTATGTTCCCCAGGCTGGTCTCGAACCCCTGGGCTCAAGTAATCCTCTGGCCTCAGCTTCCCAAAATGGTAGGATTACAGGTATGACCCACCTTGCCAGGTCTAGTTCTTAATCATTTTCTAAAAATGATTTCTGGGATTTAGAGTTTCCTATCATTTTTGCTTCTCAGAGATCTCTTTAAGAAAGAGATCTTTAAGAAAGAGATCTTTCTTTAAGATCTTTAAGAGATCTCTTTGTTTCTCAGAGATCTCTTTAAGAAAATGATTAAAAAACCATTTGGTTTCATATAAAAGTACAGCTAAAGCTGACTGCAGAAAATATGCTTTGCTATTAACCAAAAGAGATGAGAAACATTTGAATTTCAAATTGCATGAAAGAAGTGGAGACAACAGCTTCATCGAGTTTTGGTTTTAATTTGTGAAAAAAGTGTTTTATAAACAATTTACTACACAGAAATATGAGCACTCCGGGGAAAAAATCATCAAAGGAAAAAAAAAATTAGTTGGTATGTTTATTTTCTTCATGGAAATGTCTTAATCAGAATCATGCATCTTAGGTTGCCTTTTTTTTTAATGTGAGGATTTTGTTAAAGTAGGATTATATCATTTCTTTGCATTAAAAAAGAAATATTCATGGCTGGGCACAGTGGCTCACATCTGTAATCCCAGCACTTTGGGAGGCCAAAGCAGGTGGATCACCTGAGGTCAGGAGTTCGAGACCAGCCTGGCCAATATGGTTAAACCCCGTATCTACTAAAAATACAAAAATTAGCCTGGCATGGTGGCGGGCGCCTGTAATCCCTGCTACTGGGGAGGCTGAGGCAGGAGAATCACTTGAACCTGGGAGGCGGAGGTTGCACATTCTCATCAGCATTTATTGCTTGTCTTTTGGATAATTCTAATTGAAGTGAGATAATATCTCATTGTAGTTTTGATTTCCATTTTTCTGATCAGTGATGTCGAGCACCTTTTCATATATCTGTTTGCCATTTGCATGTCTTTAAAGAAACGTCTATTCAGATTTTTGCCCATTTTTCATCTGATTATTAGACTTTTTTTCCCTATAGAGTTGTTTGAACTCCTTCTATTCTGGTTTTTAACCCCTTGTCTCGTGGGTAGTTTGCAGATTTGTTTTTCTATTCTGTGGGTTGCCTCTTTCCTTGGCTGTGCAGAAGCTTTTTAACTTGATGTGATCCCATTTGTCCATTTTTGCTTTGGTTGCCTGCGTTTGTGGGGTACTCAAGAAATCTTTGCCCACTCCAGTGTCCCAGAGAATTTCCCCAACGTTTTCTTGTAGTTGTTTCATAATTTGTTTTCTTGTAGTTGTTTCGTAATTTAAGGTCTTAGATTTAAGTCATTAATCCATTTGGACTTGATTTTGTATATGGTGAGAAATAGGGGTCTACTTTCATTCATTCTTCTGCATATGGATATTCAGTTTTCCCAGCACCATTTACTGAAGAGACTGTCTTTTCCCCAATGTATGTTCCTGGCATCTTTGTTGAAAATGAGTTTACTGTAGATGTGTGGGTTCACTATTGGGTTTCTGGGTTCGCTCTTCTGTTCCATTGGTCTACATGTCTGCTTTTATGTCAGAACTATGCTGTTTTGGTTACTATAGCTCTATAGTATAATTCAAAGTCAGGTAATGTGATTCCGCCAGTTTGTTGTTGTTGTTGTCGTTTCATTTTGTTTTGTTTTGCTTAGGATAGCTTTGACTATTCTGGATCTTCTGTGGTTTCACATAAATTTTAGAATTGTTTTTTCTATTTCTGTGAAGAATATCCTTGGCATTTTTATAGAGATTGCATTGAATCTGTAGATTGCTTTGGATAGTATGGGCATTTTAACAATACTGATTCCTCCAGTCCACAAATATGGAATATCATTCCATTTTGTGTGTGTGTGTCCTCTTCAATTTCTTGTATCAGTGTTTTATAGTTTTCATTGCAAAGATCTTTCACATCTTTAGTTAATTCTTAGGTATTTTATTTTATCTGTAGCTATTGTAAATAGGATTACTTTTTTGATTTCTTTTTCAGATTGTTCTCTGTTTGCATATAGAAATGTTATGGAGTTTTGTATGTTGATTTTATGTCCTGCAAATATACTGAACTTATTTATCAGCTCTATTAGTTTATTGGTAAGAGTCTAAGTTTTCCTAAATGTAAGATCATATCATCTGCAATCAAGGATAATTTGACTTGCTCCTTTCCAATGTGGATGCCTTTTCTTTCTTTCTCTTGTCTGATTGCTCTAGATAGGACTTCCAATGCTATGTTGAATAGTGGTGGTAAAAGTAGGCATCCTTGTCAGTTTTTTCCCATTCAGTCTGATACTAGCTGTATGTCTGTCATATATGGCTTTTATTATGTTGAGTATGTTCCTTCTATACCCAGTTTTTTTAGGGTGTTTATCAGGAAGGGATGTTGAATTGTATCACATGCTTTATTTAGCATCAATTGAATGATCATAGTTTTTGTCCTTCATTCTGTTGATGTGACTTATCACATTGATTGATTTGCATATGTTAAATGATCCTTGCATCCCTGGGATAAATCCCACTTGGTCATGATAGATTATCTTTCTAACGTATTGTTGGATTCAGTTTGCTAGTATTTTGCTGAGAATTTTTGCATTAATATTCATCAGAGATTGGCCTGTAGTTGTTTTTTGTTTTTAATGTGCCTTTGTCTGGTTTTGCTGTTAGGGTAATACTGGCCTGGTAGAATGAGTTTGGAAGTGTTCCCTCTTCTGTTTTTAGAATAATTTGGATAGGATTGGAATTAGTTCTTTTATAGAATTCAGAAGTGAAGCCATTGAGTCCTGGGCTTTCCTTTAGTGGGAGCCTTTTTATTATGTCTTCAATCTCATTACTTGTTATTGGTCTGAGGGTTTTGGATTTCTTCATGGTTCAATCTGGGTAGGTTGTTTGTATCTAGGAATTTATCCATTTCTTCTAGATTTTCCAATTTATTGGCATATACTTGATCACAGTAACCACTGATGATTCTTTGAATTTCTGCAGTATTGGTTTTAATGTCTCCTTTTACATCTCTAGTTTTATTTACTTGGGCCTTCTCTCTTTTTCTTAATCTGGCTAAAGGTTTGTCAATTTTATCTTTTCTAAAACCCAACTTTTTGTTTCATTGACCTTTTGTATTGTTTTCTTCATTTCAATTTCATTTCTTTCTGCTCTGATGTTTATTATTTCTTTTCTTCTACTAATTTTGGGTTACGTTTACTCTTGCTTTTCTAGTTCTTTAAGATGCATCATTAGGTTATTTATTTGAGGCGTTTCTTCTTCTTCTTCTTTTTTTTTTAAGAGACAGGGTCTTACTGTGTTGCTCAGGCTGGAGTGCACTGGCATGATCATCTCTACTCACTGCAACCTCTGCCTCCTGGGCTCAAGTGATCTTCCTGCCTCAGACTCCTGAGAAGCTGGGACCACAAATGTGCACCACCACACCTGGCTAATTTTTTGTATTTTTGGTAGAGACAGAGTTTCACTATATTGACCAGGCTGGTCTAGAACTCTGGACCTCAAGTGATTCATCTTGCAGAATGCTGGAATTACACACATGGGCCACCACACTCGGCCTCTCTTCTTTTTTTATGTAGGCACTTGTAACTATAAACTTCCCTCTTAGTACTGTTTTCACTGTGTCCTATAGGTTTTGACATGTTGTGTTTCCATTATCATTTGTTTCAAGAAATTTTTCAATTTCTCTCAATTTCTTCATTGACCCACTGGTCATTCATGGGCATATTGTTTAATTTCCAGGTGTTTCTATAGTTTCCAGAATCCCTCTTGTTGATTTCTAGTTTTATTCTATTGTGGTCAGAGACAATGTTTGATATTAATTATTTCAAATTTTTGAATATGTTTTAATAGTTGTTTTGTGACCTAACATGGTTTATCCTTGACAATGATCCATATGCTGAGAACAGTATGTATTCTGTGCACAATGAAAAGTGCTGTAAATATCTATTAGGTTCATTTTTTCTATAGTACAGATTAAGTCTGATGTTTCTTTATTGATTTTCTGTCTGGAAAATCTATCCAGTGCTGAAAGTGGGGTTTTAAAGTCTCTAGCTATTATTGTATTGCATTCTCTTATCTCTTTCTAGTTCTAATATTTGCTTTATATATGAGTGCTCCAGTGTTGGGTACATATATATTTACAATTTTTATATCCTCTTGCTGTTGTCTCTAGTTTCTGTCTTGAAATCTATTCTCTCTGCTATAGAGAGAGAATAGCTACAAATCCTGTTTTGTTTGTTTGTTTCCATTGGCATGGCATACCTTTGTCCATCACTCCATTTTCAGTCTATGTATGTCTTTATAGGTAAAGTGTATTTCTTGTAGGCAACAGATCATTGGGTCTTTCTAAAAATCCATTCAACACTCTCTTTTGAAGAGTTTAGACTGATACGTAAGGACTTACTCCTGTTATTTTGTTATTTCTTTTCTGGTTTTGTGACCTTTTTCCTTTTCTTGCTTCCTTTTAGTGAAGGTGATTTTCTCTGGTGATATAATTTAATTTCTTTTTTACTTTTTGGGTATCCATTGTATGTTTTTCAATTTGAGATTACCATGAGGCTTGCAAATACTATCTTATAACCCATGATTTTAAGCTGGTAACAACTTAAGACTATTTGCATAAACAAACAAGCAAAAAGAAAACTAATAAAAACTCTACAGTATAACTTTGTCCTCCTGCTTTTTAACTTTTTATTGTTTCTCTTTATATCTTATTGTACTGTCTTGAAAATTTGTAGTTACTATTTTTGATTGGTTCATCTTTTAGTCTTTCTACGTACAAGAGTAGTTTATACACCCGTTGCAGTGTAATAATATTCTGTGTTGTTCTATGTGCTTATTATCACAAGTGAGTTTTGTGCCTTTACATGTTTTCTTATTGCTCATGAACGTCCTTTTCTTAGAGATGGAAGTACTCCCTTTAGCATTTCTTGTAGGACAGGTCTGGTGTTGATGAAATCCCTCAGCTTCTATTTGTTTGAGATGGTCTTTATTTCTCCTTCAGGTTTGATGTTTTCACTGGATATACCATTCTAGGGTAAAGGTTTTTTGCCTTCAGCACTTTAAATATGTTATGCCACTCCTTGGTTCTAAATCTTTTCTAAGACTGAAAAGTGTGCTGCCAGACATGGGGGCTCTATTGTATGTTATTTATTTCCTTTCTCTTGCTCTTTCTAAAATCCTTTTTTTTTTTTTTTTTTTTTTTTTGAGAAGGAGTCTCGCTCTGCAATCCCGGCTCACTGCAACCTCCACCTCCTGGGTTCAAGCGATTCTCCTGCCTCAGCCTCCTGAGTAGCTAAGATTACAGGCACACGCCACCACGCCTGGCTAATTTTTGTATTTTTAGTAGTGATAGGGTTTCACCATGTTGGCCAGGATGGTCTTGATCTCTTGACCTTGTGATCCACCTGCCTTGGCCTCCCAAAGTGCTAGGATGACAGGTGTGAGCCACAATGCCCAGCCTAGAATCCTTTCTTTATCCTTAACCTTTAGGAGTTCGATTATTAAATGCATTTAAGTAGTCTTCTTTGGGTTAAATTTGCTTGGTGGTCTGGAACCTTGTCCTCGGATATTGATATCTTTCTCTAGTTTTGGAAAGTTCTCTGATATTATCCCTTTGAATTAACTTTCTGCCTCATCTGTTTCTTTACCTCCTCTTTAAGGCCAATAACTTAGATTTTCCCTTTTGAGGCTATTTTCTAGATATCGTAGGTGTGCCTCATTCTTCTTTTTTCTGTTGTCTCCTGACTGTATTTTTAAATCACTTGTCTTCAAGCTTGCTAATTATTTCTTCTGCTTGATCAGTTCTGCTGGTATGAGATTCTGATGCATTCTTCAGTATGTCAATTGCATTTTTCAACCCCAGCATTTCTGCTTGATTCTTTTTAATTATTTCAATCTCTTTATTCGGTTTATCTGACAGAATTCTCAATTCCTTGTTTGTGTTATCTTGAATTTCTTTGAGTTTTCTTAACACAGCTATTTTGAATTCTGTGTCTGAAAGGTCGTATATCGGTTTCTCCAGGATTGGTCCCTGGTGCCTTATTTAGTTTGTTTACTGAGAACATGTTTTCCTGGATGATCTTGATGCTTATAGATGTCCATCAATGTCAGGGTATTGAAGAGTTGTATTTATTGTAGTCTTTGCTCTCTGGGCTTTTTTGTACCTGTCCTCCTTGGGAAGGCTTTCTAGGTATTCAGAAGGTTTTGGGTGTTATGATCTAAACTTTATCTACATTAGGGAGCACCCCAAGCCCAGTAACACTGGGGTTCTAGCAGACTCTTAGAGGTACTGCTTTGGTGATCTTGGATAAGATCCAGAAGAATTTTCTGGATTACCAGACAGAGATGCTTGTTATTTTCCCTCACCTTCTCCTAGACAGTCTCTCTCTTTCTCTTTCTGGACTACCTGGAGCTGGAGGTGGGTGACACAGGTACCCCTGTGGGCACTAATTTCTATCTTTTGAAGACTTCCACCCATGTTATGGTTAAAATGCTTATTTATGTTTAATGATAGATTTCAGATTGCAGTTAATCTGAGTGTGGAACGCTATGCCCTGATATTTGGAATCAACACCTTTATTGCCTTGGTGATTCAGACCATCATAACTGTGATTGTAGTAGATCAGAGAGGGCTCAACTTGCCAATCAGCATTCAGGTAAGCTGTAATACTCCTGTTTTCAACTAGGTAACCTCAAAGGTTTCTCAACCTTGCAACAAGCAATATTTAAATTTCTTGAGTTCCTTGGTTAAGCAAATTTTAATATATACAACTCCTTAATTATCATACTGTAACACACCAAGTATATTTTGAGCAATAATTGCAACTAGAACAACATTTACCTAGATAATGCAGGTAAGAAGTAACTTCAGTGCTTAAATTTATTCTTGGAGACATTGAATGTAACATTGCACCAGCCTCCAAACGAAGACATAGAGACAAATCAATGAATTTTAGTGTTTTGTTTTGTTTTGTTTTTTACTATTGATGATAGTAGCTATGATTTTAACCCAAGCAACCTGCTCTGAAGCCAAGACTCTTAGTCACTGTATTGCTTACATCTTCTTACTTGATCTTGATTTCTTACTTGATCTTGATTTCTTACTTGATAGTAGAGTATTGTTCAACCTAAATGACCCCACATTAAAAACCTGGGTCTCAGTTAACCCATAATCCAAGCAAACCAACAGTATTATGTTGTATTATCATTGACATAGATGGTCATATTTTATATGTGGCTAATTATTTGTTTTTCTCCAGTTTTTAGTTTATGGGAGCTATTTTGCAGTAATTGCTGGAATTTTCCTAATGAGAAGCATGTATATTATCTACTCAACCAAATCCCAGAAGGATGTACAGAGCCCTGCTCCAAGCGAGAATCCAGATATGTCTCACCCAGAGGAAGAGAGTAATGTCATCACGTCAACAAAACTCTAACCTCATTGCAACAACTGCAGCAGTGGCTTTTAAAGCTATGCAATAATAAGGAAGGATTTTGAGATGGGTGGCGTATGTTTTGCCATAACTTGACATGCTTTTTGAAATCGGGATTCCAATGGACCTTTCAAAACCACAACGAAACCTCAGCTTTAGACGAGTTCTCTATCTGCCCAATTTTACTGGATGCAATTGACAGAACCCATCGTCGTAATTAAACAACCCATATTGGAGACCCCCCTGTGACCAGTAGCAGCTGGAAAATTCTGGTTTTTCCCACTTGTACAGACACGCAGATGGTGTGGAACTAAACCATGAGAAAACTCCAGCCATCCTGGAGTTGGTAATCACCATTTGTGGGGAGAAATACTAACTGGACAGACCCTATTGCTTGGCTTAAATACTTGTTTGATCTTACCAAAGAAGTCAACGCATGGGACCCTTTTGTCACACGAGCCATTTTCTTTCTTCTTCTAATAAGTATATTTCTGTTTAAGTTACAGTTCTCCAAGAGAATTACAAGGTTTATCCCATTTCTAAGGGCTTGTCTTCAACTCTGATAACAGCATTATTCACAAGTTATGATTTGATAGTATTATTATTTAATTTTTTATGATTATTTTCCATGTTGTGCTCTGAGTTTTGCTGTTGAAAGTCTACCTCAAGAATAGCTCCAGACCCTCTTGTGTATTTGCAGAGTGACACTCAGGTCATTTCCCAGTGGCCTGGGAGAGGCAGGGAGCCTTCTCTCCACCACCATATAGAGGTGTTAATGCATCTATGGGCCAGGTGCAGTGGCTCACTCCTGTAATCCCAGCAATTTGGGAGGCCAAGGTGGGAGTTTTGCTTGAGGCCAGAGGTTCAAGACCAGCCTGGGCAACACAGTGAGACCTGACTCTACTAAAAAATTTAAAAATTAGCTGGGCATCATGGTGTGTGCCTGTAGTCTCAGCTACTTGGGAGGTCATCGGGGGAGGATGGGTTGAGCACAGGAGTCAGAGGCCGCAGTGAGCTATAATTGCACCACTGCACTCCAGCCTAGGCAACAGAGTAAGACTCTCATCCCCCTCTCCCAAAAAACAGCACCTGTGTGATGTCTATCTAAAATAGGAAAACTTAAAGGAGGTTTCTAGAAGTATTAGAAATAAGAAAACACTGATGGAGGGAGTGGAATGAAACACCTGTTTTTTGTTTGTTTGTTTGTTTGTTTGTTTGTTTGTTTGTTTTGAGACGGAGTCTTGCTCTCTCACCCAGCCTGGAATGCAGTGGTGTGATCTTGGCTCACTGCAAACTCCGCGTCCTGGGTTCAAGCCATTCTCCTGCCTCAGCCTGCTGAGTAGGTGGGACTATGGGTACGCACCAACATGCCTGGTTAATTTTTATATTTTTAGTAGAGATGGGGTTTCACCATATTGGCCAGGCTGGTCTCAAATTCTTGACTTCAGATGATCTGCCTGCCTCGGCCTCCCAAAGAGCTGAGATTACAGATGTGAACCACCATGCTGACCAAAACACCTAATTTTTAAATGGCAGCAATAGTGCTACATAAAATGTGTCAACATTTTAAAGAGTTTTTAACATTTTTTTTTTTTATGAATTCTGCTGAAAATTATCTGAACATACCTGTTTCTCAAAACTTCAAGAAGGGATGCATTGAGCAGTCTGACAGTGAGAATAAAGAATGCTGAGTCAAGATTTATATCAGGGCTGGCAGCTGTGGCTCACACCTGTCATCCCAGCAATTTGGGAGGCTGAGGTGAGAGGATAATTTGAGAGTCAGAGTATGAGACCATCTTGGCCAACATAGCAAGACCCTGTCTTTAAAACAAACCAAAAAAATCTTTAATTGCATTTTGATATGGTTTGGATCTGTGTCCCCACCAAATCTCATGTTGAAGTGTAATCCCTAGTGTTAGAGGTGGGGCTGGCTGGCAGGTGACTGGATCATGGGAGTGAATCCTTCATGAATGGTTTAGCACCATCCCCTCAGTGCTGTTCTCATGACAGCGAGTTATCACAAGAGCTGGTTGTTTAAAAGTGGGTAGCACCTCCTCGCTCTCTCTTTCTCTGGCTTTGGCCATGTGAAGATACCTGCTCCCACTTTGCCTTCTGCCATGAGTAAAAGCTCCTTGAGGACTCCCAGAAGCAGATGCTGCCACGCTTCCTATATAGCCTGTGAGCCAATTAAATGCCTTTTCGTACAAATTACCTAGTCTCAGGTGTTTCTTCATAGCAATGTGATAATGGACTAATATGTTTCTCAAGTACACTTCTCTCCAAATCCCCAAATTCATTCACTGGACTAAGATCCAGCCCAAGAACCAATGCACTCACTTAGTGGAGAAAACGAGTAACATTCCTACTTACATGGAAGGCAAGGAAGGAATGGCTGCTATTCTTTTTTTTGATAGAATCTTGCTCTGTCACCCAGGCTGGGGTGCAATGATACAATCTCAGCTCACTGCCACCTGCCTCCCGGGTTCAAGCAATTCTCCTGCCTTAGCCTCCTGAGTAGCTGGGATTATAGGCGCCCGCCACCCTGCCCAGCTAATTTTTGTATGTTTAGTAGAGACGGGGTTTCACCATGTTGGTCAGGCTGGTCTCGAACTCCTGGTCTCAGGTCATCCGCCTGTCTCAGCCTCCCAAAGTGTTGGGATTACAGGCGTGAACCACCTCGCACTCGGTCCATTATCCTTCTTTTTTAACGTATTATACTGGAGGTGTTAGGCATCACAATTAGACAAATAAGAAAAATCAGAAGTCAAAAATTGGAAAGGAGGCCAGGTGCAGTGGCTCACGCCTGTAATCCCAACACTTTGGGAGGCTGAGGCGGACAGATCACATGAGGCCAGGAATTGTAGGCAAGCCTGGGAAACATGGTGAAACCCTGTATGTACTAAAACCAACAAAATTAGCCGAGTGTGATGCATGCCTGTAATCCCAGTCACTCGGTGGCTGAAGCATAAGAATCACTTAACCCGGGAGGCAGAGGTTGCAGTGAGTTGAGATTGCGCCACTGCACTCCAGCCTGAGCGACAGAGACCCAAAGGGGACCAAAAAATGCATTATGATTCATTCCCATATTCACCTATAACAAAATTAACTGCTAAAAAATGAGGAAGATCTTTAGTAACACAGAACTCTAAGAGCTCTATTATCAAGTGGAAAAAAGTCAAGCACCAAAGTAATAATGAATGCAGCAACTCAGCATTTGTATAAAAAGGAGAAAAACATCTGTATTGGCTTACATATGCATATAACTTTTCTAAAAAGACAAATGAGGCCAGGCACGGTGGCTCATGCCTGTAATCCTAGCACTTTGGGAGGCTGAGGCAGGTGGATTGCTTGAGTTCAGGAATTCGAGACCAGTCTGGGCAACATGGCAAAACCCTGTCTCTACAAAAAATACAAAAATTAACTGGGCATGGTGGCTTGCACCTGTACTCCCAGCTACTTGAGGGGGATGAGAAAACAGGATCGCTTGAGCCTGGAGGTGGAGGTTGCAGTGAGTCGAGATCGCACCACTGCACTCCAGCCTGGGTGACAGAGTGAGACGCTGTCTAGAACAAACAAACCAACAATCAAACAAATAAATAAATAAACAAATGAAACTCATACCAATGATTGCCTGTTGTGGAGTAATGGGAAATGGGAGGGAGACATCACATTCTCATGGCATTTGATGCTTACACCAAATGAATAACCCACCAGTAAATTAAAATACTACTTTTACAAAAAAGCATTTAACCTCTTGGGAAATAAATCTGCATTGAAGAATAAGGAGCTGGAGATTTGCTATGCAACCATTATAGTGGTTTTATATTTTTGGTAATATGAATGAATTACTAAGTGTGCATGTATAATTAAAGGAACAAACAACAGAAGAAAAAAATAAGGCCTGGTCGGGCACCATGGCTTATGCCTGAAATCCCAGCACTTTGGGAGGCCAAGGTGGGAGGATCGCTTGAGCTCAGGAGTTCAAGACCACCCTGGGCAACATAGTGAGACTCCATCTCAAAAAATTAATAATAATAATAAGTAGACCTGATACTGAAAAATTAAATTAAAATTTTTTATTTGGTATCTCATTAATGAAAAAAAATTTTTTAAATAACGACCCCTCATATAAGTACCAGCCACTTTGGGGTGTCATTTGATGATCAACTCCAACTGTGATTCCTCAGTCAGGAAAGAGGCTCATAGGCATATGAAACTGGTTCAAAGTCAAGCACGCAGGAAATAGTGAAGGTGCAATTTGAATTCAAGTATGTCTGACCACTGTGGTCTTTCTGTGATACCACCCTGCTCTATGCTTAACACAGGAGAGTATTGTACCCACTCATGAAAGATAAAATCCAGAGCGGGGTCCCTATTTCCCCGGTCCATGGACTGGTACTGGTCGGTGGCCTGTTAGGAACGGGGCCGCACAGCAGGAGGTGAGCGGCAGGTGAGTGAGCAAAGCTGCATCTGTATGTACAGCTGCTCCCCATCGCTCACATTACCGCTTGAGCTCTGCCTCCTGTCAGATCAGCGGAGGCGTTAGATTCTCATAGGAGTGGGAACGCTGCGGTGAGCAGTGCGTGCTGGAGATCTAGGTTGCATGCTCCTTATGAGAATCTAACATCTGATGTCTGTCACTGTCTCCTACCACTCCCAGATGGCACCATTTAGTTGCAGGAAAACAAGCTCAGGGCTCCCACTAGTTCTACATTATGGTGAGTTGCATAATTATTTCATTATATATTACAATGAAATAGTAATAGAGATACAGTGCCCAAGGCCAGGCACAGTGGCTTACGCCTGTAATCTCAGCACTTTGGGAGGCCGAGGCAGACAGATCACTTGAGGTCAGGAGTTCGAGACCAGCCTGCCCAACGTGGTGAAACGCCATCTCTACTAAAAATACAAAAATTAACCTAGCATGGTGGCAGGCACCTGTAATCCCAGCTACTCAGGAGGCTGAGGTAGGAGAATTGCTTGAACCTGGGAGGCAGAGGTTGCAGTGAGCCAAGATCGTGCCACTGCACTCCAGCCTGGGTGACAGAGTGAGACTCTGTCTAAAAAAAAAGAAAAAAGAAAAGAAATACAGTGCACATTAAATGCAATGTGCCTGAATCATCCTGAAACCATCCCCTCTACCCAGTCTGTAGAAAAATTGTCCTCCACAAAACCAGTGGGGACCACTAACCAGCAAAATGTCAACTTATAGGATTGCAGGGAAATTAAGTGTTGTGAATTTTAAAGTATATTTTAGAATAACTCAGGAGTAGCTAGAAAACATTTTGATCTAAAGAATTTTTATATTTCAAAAGTGTCTTACATAACTGCCCTTTACTGGGCACCATAAAATCAGTGACGGCTGGCGAGGTGTGGTGGCTCATGCCTGCAATCCCAGCACTTTGAGAGGCGAAGGCAGTAGGGTTGCTTGAGGCCAGGAGGTCAAGACCAGCTTGGACAACATAGTGAGACCAGGTCTCTACAAAAAACTTTTTAAAAATTTTGCTGGGTGTGGTGGTGTGAGTCTGTAGTCTTGAATACTCAGGAGGCTGAGGCAGGAGGACCATTTGAGCCCAGGAGTTTGAGGCTGCAGTGACATATGATTTTGCCACTGCTCTTCAGCCTGGGTGACAGAGACCCCATATTCTAAAGAAAAAATAATCAGTGAATTTAAAGTAAAAAGGATGGCATGGTCCCTCTTTTAAGGACTAGTAGACTAGCAGTAAGATAAATAGGATCAGTAGCCAAACACATGCTCTTCCAGAGAGAGGTTAAGGCCAAAAGAGCAGATTCCCAGATGCATGCTAGGAGGGCCGATCCACTCCACCTGCTCAGGGCAAGGAACTCATGACAGAAAGAAACTACTGATCACTGAGCTGAGTCCTGAGTGTGAGCTGTTGAGAACTTTCAGAACATTTAAGATTATCTGCGTACTTGTATTTTTTCAGATGCAGTAGGTTTTATACACTGTTCCAATGTGATTTATAACTCTGAACAGCAACCCTTCCCTTTTAGTATTTAAATTATAAATAGGGATGGTTTTTACTTTATTATTTTTTTTAAGGAT